ACAAAATATATTTACATATTTAGGTACATTTAAATGAATTTGCTTTTGAACAATGTTCTTAGTTAAATATAGCAGATATTGTTTTTATTTTAAAAATTTAAAAACACAGGTCCAGAATGTTAAATGGCGTCTGATGCTAAACCCCTAATTCTGACTTTAAGTTTCATATGCTTTTCCCATTGTCTTAACATCTTTATTCCCCAACACAAAAAGATTCAGAAATCCATTGTCATTGAATTCATGAACTTTACTTACAGCTGAGAAGAGGTGGATCCCTTTTAGGTCAGATGTGAGCTTAAAATTCTTATATAAGAATTATTAATTTAACAAATTTTAGTGGTAGATTTAGAAGCTTAGAGTTAGTGGAGCTTAATGTGAAATTACTGCAGCATGGTAATAGGTGACCAAAGAGAGAAGAGTAGAGCAAAATGGAAGTACGAGTGTGAAAAGAAAATATCCCTAATACTTCCATTGCTCTGTCTGAGCACAGCCACTATGCCAATGCAGTGTATCAAAATTAATATTGATGTTATGAGACTCATTAAAAACCTGTTTTTGACGTGCATCTAATACATGATGATATACAAACAGCATGTGTTTCAGAAAGAATTATATTTAAATTGCTAATATTTTTAAAGAAAATAATTTTTGAAAACATCATTTATCTGGAAAATTTCTCTTGTATAATTAATGGCTGTGCTAATCAAATAAGATTCAACTATGCCTTATTTTATTATTTGCACAGATCTTTCTGTCTACTGGTTTTTAAGGAAGTAAATTTAAAAGTACATAGTATTAGAAGAAAGATCAAATGATGAATTATTATTTTATTTTAGGTTCTATTTACAGAGGAAGATGTGAAATTCTACCTTGCGGAATTGGCCTTGGCTTTGGATCATCTCCATCGTTTAGGAATTGTGTACAGAGACCTGAAGCCAGAGAAGTAAAGTTATATTCTACATTTGTATCCATGCTATCTATATTGCTTTTTAAGATTTTTTATTCCATTGACTTATTGTGTGTGTTTGTATGTATGATTGTGGACAAGTATGTGCTATAGCATGTATGTGGAAGAAAGAGGACAAGTTGTGGGAGTTCTCTATCTCCTTCTACTACGTGAGTGCCAGACATCAGTTTGTCGGTCTGGGTGGCAAGTGCCTTTATCTACTAAGCCTTCCCATCTAGCCACCCTTTATTCATATATATTTTACATTTTTTGAACTCATATTTTGACATATTTCATTAAGCTTTTCCAAATTATTTGAAATTTTGATGAATGATAGTTGCATAAAATTTACTATATAAAATATTCTTTATAATACACTTTTTGTTTTTAAATTAATACTTGAAAATTTCCCAGTATATCAAATAGTGACTAACTTTATATTTATGACTTTTATGCATTTGGTTTCAAAATGTTGAATGTGAAAATAGTGACAAATTTATATTTATGACCTTTATGTATTTTATTCCATCATATGTAATATAAACTTTTATTTACAGCATCTTGCTTGATGAAATAGGACATATCAAGTTAACAGGTATGTAAATTTTCTTACATACTAATAAGCACATTGTTTATTTTTTTCTCATTCTAGGGCATTTTTCTAAACCGTTTTTGGCCTTCATTTGAGTTGCATTTTTTGTCTTAATTGGATTAAGATTCATTTAAAGTTTACATAGTTTTGATGTGTTCTGAGTACATTTAAAATTCTACAATAGAGGCACTGTACTAATTAAAATTATTTTAGGTAAAAATAGTAGATTTTTAGTCTTATTATATATTGAAAGAATTAATAAGTACTGGTCACATCTGAGAAAAATAGTCATTCTCTCCTTCTAACTTTGCAGTCAATTTTCTATTCTTCATCTTGTTATATAACCCAGTTTTGTAGACCCATTCAATATTTGCATTTCTCAGCACAGCTGTTTACAACAGCTCAAAAATGGAAGAGACCTTAATGTCTTTAAAGGGTTAATGAATAAACAAGCTACATGTAATTTTCATGTGATGGGCTACTGGGCAATTAAAGGATGAAACCATTCATTTCCCAGTAATGTAGATAGATGACAAAGGGTGACTTAATCTCAAAAAGTTACATGTTTTCACAACATAGTAAATTCTGTAAGTTTGGAAAAGGTATAACCAAGAAAATGAAGATGTATTTTGTACAAAGAAGTTTGAATTGGTAATAGTTTAAAGTTAAATCATTCTAAATTATGGAATGTAAAAATAAAGGATTAAGCTGGTACTTTGTAGTCTGAAGTAAACATATCAGTGTGAGAGTACATATCTCCAAATACTTGAAATATATCTTAGTCTATCCCATATATATATATATATATATGAACTTGTGTTACTACTGCCTTGGTCTTCTAAGTGCTCTATTTATAGCCACTCATTACCATATATTCACATGACTTTACTTCTAAACTGTTTCTTATTACATTTTATTTTCTTAATGTACTATTGTAAATGTCTTAAATAAAGACAATGTATATAGTAGAGTAAGATTAAAAATTAGAAAGTTATAACACAAACTTACATAAGTGATTTTCTAAATGAAAATATTGACCATGGTTTGGACATCAGTTTTGAGAGAGCCTAAATTAATTAATTGAAGAGAATAACATTAGGGGTCTATTTTTTTCATTTTGGAAATTGGGAGTAATTTGCACACAGTAAAAGCTCATTGTTCTGATCCTTAAGTTGATGGGTCCTTATTCTGTTTTCCTTTTTTAGAGGGGAGAAAGTGATGTGAATGTCCTATACCATTCAATTAAGTATACATTTCAAAATAACCAAAAAAGAGTTAGAAGATTCCTAACACAATAAAAATATTTGAGGAAATGAAAATGCTAAGTACTCTAATTTAATAATTGTTTACTACATACTATCAAGTTTAATATGGTAACCTGTCAATAAATATTTTTGTCAGTTAAAAATGTAAAGGAAGGGGAGCCCCCGTGGAGGTCGCTTCCCTCTATGGGGAACGGAGGGGGCAGGGGGCTGGTGGGGAGAAGGAGAAGGGATTGACATGTGAAATTATAATTTTGTAAAAATAAAATAAAAAGAGCTTATATATAAAAAAATAAATGGAATTCTGAAAATAATGTAAAGGAAATGGAATTATTAAAAGACATTCTATATGAAGTCATTACAGTGCATGGAGGAACATTGGACACCTCTTGCTAAATTGAAAGAATCTGCTGTAAAATGCACACACACTATGAGTCCAGCATGGCACAATAGTGAAGCAGAGCTTTTGGGAATAGTAAGAAAGATTAATGTTCTGTAGGGAATGAGGAAGGGAGGAATAGAGAGGGATGAATAGGTGGAGCACAGAAGAACTTTAGGATCATGAAACTGCTATCAAAGATAGTAACTCATATATTATGGTTTATCTCGCTTATGTCAGTGTTCAGATATATTGATGAGACACACAAAATCCAGTGGATGGATGGATAGATATTCATCCATGCTGTTATATGTTCAGTGGTTTGTTTTCTTTAAAATATTTACTAGTGTTTTAAAACTATAATTTATGATGGTCTCTTAGTGTTTCCCATTTAAGGGACAATTGTTTCATATTTTGAGTAGTTATGAATAAAGTTGTAATAAGCATTAATGAACAGTTTTGGATATAAACATAATACTTAATTTATCTGAGTAAATTGCTAAGAACATTATTACTATGGTAAATACATATTTAAGAAGAAACTTCCAGATTCTATTCCAGTGTGGTTGTACATTTTACAAACCTACTGAATGTAGTTATTTCAGCTATTCTAATAGGCATGCATCTCAACATGTTTTTCTTTTGCTAATAACTAATGATACTGTCATTTTCATGTATTTATGTCTTTATAAAAATGTTGTTAGGTCTTTTGATCATTTGTAGAAACTGAATTGTTTTCTTGCTGAATTTTTATTTTTTATGGTTCAAATACAGATCAGTAGATAATATGATATATAAATACTTCTCTGATCTTGTTTTTTATTTTATTAATGTATCTTTTAAAATTATTAGTTCTTTGACGGTTTGCTACAGTCTTTTTTATCATTCACCCCTCTTCCCCAACTTTTCCCAGATCCATGGACCCATCCCCACTTCTTCAATATTGTGCTCTCCTTTTTAAAAATTTTGTGTCCCTTTAAAAGCAATCCTTCAAGACGAATTTTTGTTGCCCATATTTTCTTGGCTGTGTGGTTTTCCACTGGAAAGTGGTTGGCCTACTAAGGGCTATACTCTTAGAGAAAGCTGTCAGCAGCTAACAGTTGCAATACTTCCACAGTTACATTTTAAGCACAAATTCTTTATTTATTTATTTTTTTTTGGAGATAGAGTTTTTCTGTATTGTTTGGAGGTTGTCCTGGAACTTGCTCTGTAGACAAGGCTGGCCTTGAACACACAGAGATCTGCCTGCCTCTGCCTCTGAGAGCTGGGATTAAAAGCATGTGCTACCAACACCCGGCTTAGCACAAATTCTTTATTTTGATGACACTGTGTACATTAAATTTTTCTTGTATTATTTATACTTTTGATGTCATACCCCAGAAATCTTTGTCAAACATAGAATCATAAAGATTTTATTCTCTATTTTGTTACTGTAATTTTAACTTTTGTATATAATTCTGTGATGCATTTTCAGTTACTGTTCTGTTATGACGTGAGTATAATGTGTTTTTTGTATTTATATAAAAATTTGTTCTGACACTTTGTTTAAATGGCTGCTCTTCCTCAGTTGAATTGCTCCTCATTTTCACCAGAAATCAAGCCAATTTTGTTATATTATAGAGATATGTGACCCTGATCATTTCATTCTGCAAAATAACATTATAAAACTACAGGACTTAAGGGAAAAACACTAAAATGTTTACTCAGATTCACATGACTAAAAAAGTAAATGTAAAACACTGTTTTACATGTTCAAATAATTGAGTACATAATGACTGCAGTAAAACATCGTGCCTTACCTTAAAAAAGACCTAAAGTTTGCTAGTAGGTATGGATATCAGACAAAATTAAGTTGTGAGTTATAATTAAGAACTGGTGGGAACTATAGTCTCTGAAATTGGAAGGAAAGTTGTTACGCTAAGTAGACAGAACTGACTCATAACAAACATCATGAGCTGAAGTAGCTGGCAGATGTTAGTACTTTCTGTGTTCCGCTACTTTTCTCTTATACAATTAGCCAAAGTGAAATCCATGTTGTGCTCAAGTTGTTTTCTAATATACAAACTGCACTGGAACTGATTTGTATTTTGAAATAAGATCATAGCAGAACTAACTATATTTCAGTATATTAAATATCATTCCATTGAGATATGTGTATATGTGCCCAGCTTTCTTCTGTATTTGATTATGTTTATTGTTATAGCTCTCTAGTGAATGTTTAAGTTAGGTAGTATAAAATAATTCAAATTTTCATTTTTTCAATATTTATTTACAGTATTGTTTTCATGTCTTTTCATAAACATTTTAGATTCAGGTTGTTGATTTCTCCCAAAGAAATCTATTAGAAATTTTATTGATATTTCATTGATTCTGTGGGTCTGTGTTAGAGGAATTAACAAATTAACAATATTGAATCACCATTGTATAAATATACTATATCTTTGCATTTATTTAGCATGACTTATTTTTTTATCAGTGTTTCTAGTTTTCAGTATAAATATCTTACATATATGCTGTGTATACTGATAAGCTATTTGCAAGGTGTTTAGTAGTACTACAGTACTCCTTTTCAAATTTAAATTTCCATTTTCTGTTACTTTTACAGAAAATATGATTTTTATATTGATACCGTTAGCCAGTTTGCCCATGCATACTGTACCTTTGCAATATTTTTAAGTATGAATTACTATGTCAGTTTATATGTAGGATAATATGGCAACCATGGTTAAATTTTTTCATCCCTCAAAATTATAGACCTGATAAAATATATTTTGACGGGGAACTTTGCGTCACCAATTTTTAAATATTCTTAAAGAGCTTTATCATTAAATATAGAGTGATTTCTGTTATTTCAGATTATCTTTCTTAAGAGTAATTTAGGACAAAATAATTGTTTGAATGTTTAATTCATTATTTTGTCTTTTGGTATTTCCTATTTCCTGAGATTTTCATTCTCTGCTTTTGGTAACACACAGATTTTGGGCTTAGCAAAGAGTCAGTGGATCAGGAAAAGAAGGCCTACTCATTTTGTGGCACTGTAGAGTATATGGCTCCTGAAGTAGTAAATAGACGAGGCCATTCTCAGAGTGCTGACTGGTGGTCATATGGTGTACTTATGGTAAGTTATATTATTTTCCTTCATTATGTCAATATATGGCTAATACTATTTAGGATTTAATTGAAATTTTTGGGTCAGCTCAGAAAAGGTTTCTTCTGATAATTCATGACTAATTTCAGTGTTGTGATTGGCAAGCAATAAGGCAAGAGTTTGAATGTCTTCCTTTTAATGTTGCTATTGAAAAGGTAAATGACAAGATTTTTATATAAATTCTCTGTATCTGAAATTTAGAAAATTCTAGATAATTCTGAATCTTACCAACACTTATATGCTATTATATTAGGTATCATAGAAATCATCACCTTTATCTTATTTTCCCGCTTATTTCATTCATGTCCTAGAAATGCTAGCAGTTGTATCCTATAATGTTTTTATGTCACTCAGTAACTAATATCGTGACATTTATATAAATTCTAAATAGGGGTGATAATTGGCTATTAAATCACAGCAGTTTTCTTTTGAAGTTTAATTATCTGTTTTCCCCCATTTGTCATGGAATGATACATGATGTGACAATGCCATATACCAAATATCTGTTAAAAGGAGGCAGCAGTGTAAAAACTTCTTAAATATAGCAGTTTTTCCTGATTAGAGAACACATAAAGCCTGGCTGGAGAAACAATTCAAATAGCTAAGGAAACTATCCAATAGTTGTATGTCAAAAAAAAAAAAACCTGACTATTGTGATCATATTAGCAAATCTTCAGGAAACCAGTTTTACTAGAGAAATCAAGAATAACAGTGAAAGTGGAGAAAGTGTGGCTATAAACTTAGAAATGTTCCTTGTGATTCTTCTGGTATTTGTAAACTGTTGTAGTCTTGAATCAGGATGGTGAAGAAAAGTTATATTTTATAGGAAGATTAACCTTGGCAGCATTATATAAATGATTGGAAATGGGGGGGGATTCCCAGAAACTGGGAAATAAAATCTTTCAAGATTGTCAGAAGATTAGACTTTATTAAAAAGAGGAAATTTTGAAGGCATTTCAGATAACATGTGACTAGCGTTAGCAGCTGAGTAAATGATACAGATAAAATGGTCCATATATATGAATTTAAAAACATGAAAGAAGAGTAGATTAATAAAAAAGCTATACTGGTAGAAATACCTAATGGCAACTGGTAGGGAACTAATGCATTGAATTAGGTTAACTGAGTAAGGAAAGGAGGGACACTGAAGAAACAAACAAACATTTGGAGACTATGAAAGAATTATATAGCACTGAGAGGGGAAAGCTACCTAACATAGTTTCTTTGTGAGGAAGTAGGATTCTTAGATGCAATCTCCCTCTTTGTCTATCTACCATCATGTAAACTATTGCTATAGATGTGGCTAAGAAAAATAGTGCTTGAGAGAGAGCGAGGTTGGAGCAGCCAATTTGATGTTGTCATTGTACAAGAGAGCTTAAATGAACAGAGGACTATTTAGTAAAGGCCATTAGTCAATTTTAGTTTGAAATATAATTATTGGCGCTATAGTTTTTGTGTTTATATCCATGTACTGGGGGTGTGCGGGGGCAGACCTGAAGTTGACAACATGTCTTCCTCAGTTGAACTTCACTTTATCACTCAGAAAGGGCCACTTAATGTACCTGTATTTCATCAGTTTAGCTAGACTGGCTGACTAGCAAGCTCCAGAGGTTCAATTGGAGATGTTTCCACTTTTTTCTGTTCTTGAA